ATAGAGTGATTTTAAACTTTTCACATACACCCCAGGTTTTTCCTGGGGGTTTTTTGTACATATGTTGCATCATTTCACCTGAAATTCAAGTCTCAATTTTAAATTGCCCAAAGTAAGGGAAAACTTATAAGACAGAATTGCCTGAGAGGCTGCAGAATTGACACAAGGACAGAACACAAGTGTGCAACCTGAACTATCAGTCACTGCATGTTCCCTGCCTGTGATACTGTGTTGCTAAGCCTGCGCCGGCTACTTCAGGAAAGAAACTTCCCTAATGAGAAACACACGTACCTATGGAATTACAGGCAGAGGCTGAACCTACAAAAAACCAGATTCAAATTATAAACAAGGGAAACCTATGGTTATTAAGCTGCAAATGAGACTTTTCATGAAAGAACTCTATGCAACATGTAACTGTAGATTTGTACTAAGCCGAGTTCTTTTTAGCTCACGCATTTGTGAAAAGATGTTACAGAGGAAGCATATATAAAGTATCAGACTTGGATTCAATTACACTTTATAGAGCAACTGACTAGCAAAGCTAAAGCCCCAATTGTTTGTATGATAAAGCAAACTACACACCGTACTTACAGTACAAAAAAACTATTATTTATTTCTTCCACTAAATTTATTTAGCATACAAATAAACTCTTCAAAATTTCCACAGGATAATTTACTAATCAACACCCCAAACTGTTAATTTATCTAACACCCAGGCACCAACGGCTCATCTGCACACTCCCACTCTGTTTCGGCCCAAAGGCAGCCAAGGCAGCCAGAATCACATGCTCTTATGAAGCAGTGAATAAATGAGGGGTGCACACAGAATCCAGGAGCAGTGACAGAATTTGGCCAGGTAACTGTTGGCATCTGTGCTACCTCAAGCAGCTCTTCTTGTTCCTTCCCGCCCCAATGCCCTCACCACATTCACACAATGCTAAATGGGACTGCCAAGTGAACCCAATTAACAACCTGAACTGCATCTTAATCCCCCACTTTCTATTTGTAATAGTCCCAGGGAGATGCAGGAGCCCAGCCACTGGTATGGCACATGAGGGGACAACCAGAAGCAGCAAAGATTGCTGTCCAAGTGTCTCCCCGGCTTTGGAAGTAGCCGCCTGCAGCTACAGGGACACAACCCCTACTGTGCTCTGAAATTTAAAGTTTCTCTGTCCACATATCACTACTGCCAAGCCCAAGTAAGGCTAAAGCTGATTACTAACACCCACGGGTAACAGGACTAAATGCACAGAGGGGTGACAGCTAACACAGCATTGCAGCGAGAACTGGGCAGGTGAGGCTGCACCACCCTGGTGCTGCTGAGCGTGTACCTGGCCTTACTGCGGCTGGCACTGCTGCTTTCCTCCGTCATGCAGAAATTAAGTTTTCTTTCTAAAGCATCTTCATCCCTTATGAAGTCCAAAAGCCCTGTCCAGTAGTACTTTCATTTACACAGAGTGTCCATAAGGTCATCAAGGAAGAGTAAATTAGTCATAAGGGAGAGGGGAGGGGAAAAAATAGGGACATGAGAGCAAACACTCAAAATACCATATCTGATTCAACCCTGAAGAGTTCAATCCCACACTGACTACTACATCTGAAATTGTTACTTCACTCTTTAAAAATTGTTCATCTAGTGTAGCTGTACACAGACTAAGCAAACCTTCAAGTAATTTCAAATCAAGATGCGCAATTTTCCACTGTGCATTCTTCACATGCCTCCTAAATCTAATGTGATCACTCACTAAAGAATGGCATGCAATACTGCTCTGTGCATGTTAAAATTAAGCTAACTACATGTTATTAAGCCTTTTCCTCACTGCTTGAAAACATCTCTAAAGAAAGCACTAACACCCATATATTAGGATGACATACATTGTTTTACAGATTAAATTAATATCTACCCATGATGTCAACTTTTATTAAAAGTTAGCAATAATCTGATCTCTGCAGTCCAGTAAAATTAACATGTTTCTCTAAGAAAAATAAAGTATGGGAAAAAACCTCCACAGGCTAAACTTTTCTGGTTTTGTTTTTACATAAATGGACAGTTCTGTAAAGTCTCGAAAATTACCAAATTTGTCATATCAGTTAGAATCAGCTGTGTGTGGTCTAATAGATTTCAAATATATTTCAGTGTCACTATGTTGACATGTGCAGAGACTCTTTTCTCCAATGGAGGTGGCCAGCAGCATGATTTTCCCAACCATCAGTGATTTCTGCATGTATTCTGGACTCCTGTATTCCCAGTGGGGGGGGGGGGCAATCCAGAGAAGTTCAGGACACCCTTAAACTGAATAAAAATGTCTAGCATGTCTCAGTGAGCCCAGCATGGCAGAGCATCCAGACCACAAAATTCAAAATAAACACAGTAAATACAGTCAATATTCTAAAAGACTTAAAAAGGAGAAAACACAGATTACGAATGACTGTCAAACAATCTGCTGGAAACTGTAACCCACAAGATGCTAATAACTTGTATGTATACAAATAGGAGGTATATTTTGAATCAACTCCTTTTACTTATTAGTCCCATTTGTATAGAAACATCACTCTGGAGATTTTACTAAAATAGAACTGAAAAGTAACTTAGTTAATAAATTCTAGCCATTATTGTATGAAACAGACACCTATGTGAAACAGACACCAGGTTTTATGTAATGACCTTCTAATCCTGAAATGTAACCTCACAGTCACTGTGACAAACTTCCACTGAAACACCTTCACTCCTCCCAATTTCAATGGCTATTATTTAGCAGAAAGATGCATGTACTAAGTCAACTGTCCTGTTTCCAAGCAAAATATCTTCTGCTGGTGAGTATTTATGTCATTCTTGACTAAAACTACTGAATGAGAATTGTCATCTTCACAGCCAGGCGCTCTAAACGATATTTAGATAGTTGGAGGTTTTGACCTCCAAGTCAATCGGTACGAGTAGCTAGCTCACTGTAGCCGTCCTTCCTTTGGGAACGAAACCCTGCCGCACATTTGCCCAAAATAATTTTACAGCGTTGAAATCAGATGGAAGGTGTTGTCCAGAGGAGAGGAGGGCGTGCAAAAACACCACCGCCACAATGCAAAAAAGAGAAAGGGAAAAAAAAAAAAAAAAAAGGGCCCCGCTAAAGGCACCACTGGAGACTACACCGGACGGGGGTAGGGAACATGCAAACGTAGTGCCTCCTTTATGGAGCCAGCGCAACTGCATGACGGTGCAGGATGCGGGCCGCGGGCTGTGCAGGCGCTACACATGGCCAGCGCTGCCCGCCGACCCGCGCAGGCCCGGCCGGCAGCGGGTTCTGTAAATAACCCTCGGAGGAGGGTTAATTAAAAATGGCGAGCAGCGTAGCTGCCTGCATACAATGAGCGGCCGGGCAGGGCAGGGCTGCAGCCCCCCGCCCGCCCCGCCGGGGAGCCCCGCGACAGCCGCGTCCCCTTCGCCCGCCCCAGGCGAAACCCTGCCCCAGAATCGCGGCAACTTCTTGGCCCGGACCCCCGGACCCCCGTGCCCCCTCCCGGGCTCGCCCCACGCCCGGCGGGAAGCTCCGAGGGTCCGGGGGCGCGGGGCTCCTTTTGTAGCGGCGCTTCCCCCCGCCCTCCCCCTCCCGCGGTGCAAATTCCTGCGGAGCCCCCCGGGCCGTCCCCCCCGGCCCCGCACCGCAACTTTCCCCGGCGGTCCCCCGCAGCCCCGCCGAGCAGCGCTCCCCGCGCCCCGGAGCCAGCAGGAGCGGCCCGGGCAGAGAGTGTTTACCGCGGAGAGCGGCCCAGGATCCCCGAGGGGACACGGCGGCGGGGGAGCCCCGGAGCGGGGCAGAGGGGCGAGGGGGAAACTCTCCGCGGAGTTGAGGGCGCGGGCCCTGCCCGGCTTTACCTTCCATCTCCATGTCCTCGGGCTCGCTCAGCTGCTGCTCCCCGGGCTTCTGGTGCTGCTGCTGCTGCTGATGGTGGTTCATGTCGGGCTGGGGCTGGGGCTCGGCGGCGGCGGGCTGGGCCTTTCCCGCGGGGGGCTGCGGGCCTGTGTCGGGAGGAGAAGGGGCGGAGGAGCGGCGGGGCCTCGGCAGCGGCCGGGACTGGGCGCCCGGCTCGGGGGGCTGCGGCGGGGCTCCGGCGAGCAGGGAGCGGGGCGCCGGCGGAGGCAGCGAGACGCGCACGTATTTACTCGCTATTCGCCCAATCTCGGCGGCGGCACCCGGTCGGGGAAAAGGGGCTGGGAGGAGGGTCCGGCCGGGGGCGGCGGCTTCCCCGGGGGCCGGAGGGGAAGGGACCGGGAGGGGGGGACGGGAGACCCGGAGTCAGGGCCCGGCGGCGCCCGGCGCTTCCCCTTCCCCCGGCGAGGTGTCCGCGGCGCTGCGAAGTCGGGGAGGCGCCGCGGGGCCCCTGCCGTGCCCTCCCGCCCCCCCCGGCGCCCCGGCACCGCCGCTGGCCGACGCCCGGCTCGCCGCTCCCGGCCCGCGGGCCGCCCCCGTCGCCCGAGCCCCGGCGCGCTGCTGCCGCTCCGCCGCCGCCAGCGCTCTGTGCCTCAAAATGGCGGCTGCGGTAACGCCGTGAAATGTCACATCCGCATGAGGGGGAACAGCCCCGCAGCCGGGGAGGGAGGGAGCGAGCGGGAGAGGGAGGGGAACAGCGCCGCGGCCGCCGCCGCCGCCCCAGGAGGCCGAGAGGGGCGGGGACAGGGGCTGGCCGCCGCCGCCGCCGCGGCCTCCCCGCCGGGCCGCCGCCACCTGCGCGGGGAGCGCCGCGGCCGCGGCTCCGCGCTGCCCGCCGGGCCCTTGGCCGCGGCCGGGAGCCCGCTGCTCGGCCCGGCTGCTCGGCCCGGCTCCGGCTGCTGGGGGCCGCGGGCCGTGCTCGCCGTGCGGGCCCGGCCGGGAGCGGAGGGAGCCCGCACGGCCGCGCACCGGCCGCCCCGCGCGGCAGCCGCGGGGCTCCGGGCCGGCTCCCGAGGGCTCGGCCGCCCGTGCGCTCGGGCCCGCGGGTGTGTGGCCGTGCGGGGGCCCGTGGCCGGGCCGGGGGCTCGTGGCCGGGGTGGGCCTTGGCGGGGCTCGGCCCGTCCGTGGCAGGCACCCGCTGCCGCTTGTGCGGCATGGGCAGGCGGGTGAAGGACGTGTTAGCGTGATGTGTGGAAAGGGGAAAATCTGCTGTCAACGAGGCTGCTCCTTGCTTGCATACCGCTTTTTTTTTTATGGGCCTTGTCTGGAGGATGTAGTCGCTCTCAGGGAAGAGTGATGTGTTTTCTCAGAATGTATGGAGAACGCAGGGGTGCGGGTGATTGAATAATACCTTGTTGGTCCAGGCTGTGCTTAGACCAATGAAGGAAGCAACTTCTTTTAAGGATGAAAGTAGTTGAAAGGCCAGCCGTGCAGAGTTCCATTAAACAGTCCAGTGTTTACTTCAGGATCCTGGGAAATAGGCAACAGGATAGTCTCCAAAGGGAAGGACCCAGAACATGCAAAATTGGGCCTCCTGAAGGGACTGAAAATGTTCCTAAGTAGGCAGTGCTGGTCTGCCTGCAAGTAGATAAATGAAATGTAAAAAATTATTTGTTTTTCTAGTCCATAAAATGAGGAAAGCTAAACCAATTTGAGGGGAAAATTCAACATGTCTGGCTTCTCAGCAGCCCCGGAGTCTACAGGGGTGGGCAGAGGAGGAAGATAATTTCCAACTGTGGTGTGTGAAACCCTGCCTTAAGAAGTAAATTCCAGGTCTAGAAAATGGAAAAATAAGAAGATGAGGATAGTAGTGGGAGGGTCAGGTTTTATAAGCACTTAATTTGATAGTTTGCTTCTCAAAAATTATATTCTGACTTTCCCTGTTGTTCCTCTGAATTTTCAAAAGCTTTTTAAAGGAAAATGAATTACAGATCTGGAAATTTTTTGTTGGTATTGACCCAGGCAAAACCATGACAAATCTGCCAAATCTGGATTTAAGTGTCTCAGCAAAAGAGGGAGATTAGGACAGATGTTCAGACAGAGATTGATGTACGTATCTTTAGTCTGCTTGTGTCCTAAACTTTGAATTCCCTACTGCCAGTCTTTCCCTATAATTACCTCCCAGAACAATTACTCTTTCCTAATGACTTCCATTCCAACCTCCTAAATCATACACAGGTTTAAACTCATCCCTCCATCCTCCCTTCCAAGTGATCCCCAATACAGGATGAACCAGTATGTCACAACAGGAAGGTGGCTACGGGTTATTACCTGATTCTTCAGCCACGGACACTGCGCTTGTGGGCAAGGAACAAGTGAGGAAAACAATTTCACTACTGCAAAGAACAAGTCCCTAAAATTAACTGTAGGCTGATGTTATCATAAGCCTTAAAAACATTGTTTTGTATGCAAGAGCTTCAGTTCATTTTAAAGTAGATAATTTTCCAAAATTATTAAAATAATGTTCCAAAATTCCTGCTGTTGTAAGCGAGTAAAAATTGTGCAAAATTCATCTGTACAAATCCAGTACTGTGGAAAAGTGTAAAACACAGTATTGAAGAAAGAAGCAAGAATTTTCCTGTTGTTAGCTGCATGTGGGAACAATGCATCATCAGTTTATGAAGGCAACATATCAAAATCCAGCACTGTATATTCCTAATTTAAGTCAACTTTATCTTTTGAGAATCCAGCTACAATAGGGTCTAAAGTACCTTAAAATGTTTTGAAAAGACGTATGAAAATACATCATTTATATTGTGCAAAAATAGCAAAATTCTATTAAGAATTTATTCAAGTATTTACATCTAAGAGGAAATAAATTTTAAATATAGGTATATAGTAATGCTAAATGCATTTATGAAATAATTGTATTTTATACCATCAGCCAGTGATTGTAGCCATGTGATTTGATTGTTTCTAAGCAGGAAATAGAAATCTTATTAATTGTTGAGCCTAAGGTGAAGTCCAGATCTCAACATATGCTAACACTTTATCCTAAATACATGAATAATATGTCTGCTGAATATTCCTGACCCTTTAGCACTCCCTCCTGAAATGTTCTGCTCTTCAGCACAGGACACAAAAGCTCTGTCCTTTGAAGGAAAGGATGGTCACCTTTGTATAAACGCCTGACCATGTCACTGCTGCCAGCTCTTCGCACTGATTCCAAATCACTTACTCATCCAGCTGATCCATAAATGCCTCCTATTTTCTTACAAATCTGTTTCTGCACTGTACACCACATCCTCCGGTGACTCCTGTCCACTGCAGTTCTGATAGCAAATTCCTTGTGCAGGAAAGCTAGGCAAATCTCTGGCATGGGTTACTGATATTTACAAAAAACTAAAGTAAATACCATTAGCAGGAACATTGTGAATAGAGTCTAGGTATCCTTTTCTTTCATTCTTGTCCTTCATTTTTCACTCCTTCCTTTCATTTCTTACACCCACTAACAGAATCTTCTCCAAAGTTTGGCTCTATCCCGTCTCCCAGCCCAGTCCCTCTTGGCCCTGGTGCCCCGCAGAGCACTGGGCCAGCCGGTGAAGCTGCACCTGAGCAGGGATTTCATCTCCCAGCTGGGGCCATGGGTCAGCAGGCAGAGGGGATCCCCTGTGTGCCCGGGTCAGTAGGGCTGGGGCTGGCTGAGCCTTGCCACATTCCCTCCACATTACTCATCCTAATGAGATGGAGTCAGAGGTGCTAGCGCCTTTAAAATGCCATTGAAGAGATGGGCTTTGTTTTGCGAGGCTGACCTGCTCCCCAGCCTCCCTGAAATGTAAAAATAAATCCAAGTCAGGCTGTTTATTTTTAAAACACTCACAAGCCCATGTCTGTGCGCCAGGCTGAGCCTTCAGGACCCAGAGAGAGCCCTGTGTCTCCCTGTGCCTCTGCCCTCCAGGAGAGAGATCCTGACCGTGGCAGAGCTGGAGAGGTTCACCCTGTCCTGGTCTGGGCTTCCCCCATCTTCAGCAGGGCCTGATGGCTAAGGTTTGGAAAACTGGGAAGGAACTGTGGAAAACTGAAGGAAAGGAGGAGGGTGCTCAGCCCATCCTGTACCCTGTGGCAGAAACGGCCAGACCAGGCGTTTCTGCCAGCCTGCTTGTTTCCTCCCTGCTGCAGGAAATCTTGCTTCCCACTTGGCTCCATTTGCTGCCCTGGCTTCAGCCTAGAGATGGCCTCTCCCAGCCAGAACTCATTTCCAGCACCACCGATGGTGCTCTATGATGTGTGCAGGTGGCCATGTCTATAATTAAGAAGATGTATAGCCATTTAATGGCAGAAGGGAAATTACACCAGCACACACCCTTAATACAGATGCACTAAACCAGCAGAACTGGGGTTGCTGCTTGTGCAGCTTATTCTGCTATGTGGATGAATATCCATTAATGCAGACGTGCCTCTGTTCCAGCAGGCACTGACACACACTCAAGCCACTGAGTATGCCCCATTCAGGCAGCCTCTTCTGGTCTCTCGTAGTTCTTCTCCTCCATCTCACATATGCACAATCAGACACTTGCTGCCACAGTGATAAAAGTTGTTTGAATTATCTCATGGTGGCCAGAAGCCCCTTATTCCATTGTTTATGATCCTTCCAATGCTTTGCCCCATTGCCTGTGCTACCTGGGTTGCTTTTTTCACCTGGAAAGAGTGAAAGGAACCTTTATTTAGGGACCCAAAGAATCATATCCATTGTCTCAGGTGCTCTAGATGAACATGATTGCAAACCAGAGACCTTCCAGCTGAAGCAGGTGATCAGTGATTCAAACCCCTTCAAGCTGAGTGTGGGGAAAGAAACAATCACAAGCCTCCTACAGCACATGAGACAGGCAGCCAACAGGCAAAAGCCATAAAATGCTGTTAAAGGTTCAAAATTAACTGGGAAAACTAGGTTATTTGTTTGATTGCAGTGTATGGATTTAGCTATTGCAACTTGTTCCACAAGTAGTGGGATGGATGAAGTTTCATGCCCTGTAAATGTATTTTCTATGTTTTGTAACACTCAATATCCTGCAATAATCTCAGTCTTTTATGGCTTTTCCTTCCAGTGGCAAATGGCTCCGAATAACCCCGGTCTTTCTCTGAGCAAGGGCTCGATTCGGTGACCTCTGAAAGTTGCTCCAAGCTGCAATAATTCCATGGTTCTTTACTGTGCCAGCAACTTCCACAAAGCAGGTATTTCCCACTTCAGTTTTTTATCCCTTTACTGATTGGTGGATTTTTTGAGACTGATGGACAGGCAGACTGTGCCTGTTTTGTTTCCTCAGAAAACTAGGGTAAAATACATAATTACAACATTTTCAGGAATGTTCGCAATACAGAGATCTTTGATTTGATGATTTCTCTTTGATCACACTAACATTATATTTTAAGGAGAGATATAAATCCTTATTCCTTAGTAATAAAAGGTGGTGAACCCATTACAACTGAATACACCATTATGCAAAGATTTACATGATTTAAAGTATATTTCGTAGTAGTTTTTCAGAGCCAAAATTTTTATATGGTTTTCACAGACAAGGCATCTGATGTCATAACTATAAAAAAAAAAGAACTGACAAACTTGAATTATCACAATAAAACCAGGACTGTTTTGCTGAAAACTTGAATGCTTACACCTAAGCTGGTAGGTGGTGATCAGTCTCTGTTTACCATCTTTGAAAAGTCCAGTGATTCTTTTTTCTCATCATATTTTATTGGACACTGTAAAGTATAAAGTAAAGCATTACAGCAGTAGACATCCAAAGTAAAAAGGGAATGGAAGGTACTTTACCAGTCCAGAATGTGAGCTGTGGGTATATTAAAGTGAGTTAGTGGCCTTTTCAGAAAAAATAATGGCTTGTATGTTCTGTTCATCCTTGTATCGCACATTCCAACAGAGTAGTGGGATCAAAATGAATTCTTTATTTAACATAGCAATTGATTACCCTGCTGCTAAATTTTTTTAAATTTTTAATTCTACAGATTTTTGACATTAAAAGCAAGGATCACCTGTAATGGCATTTGGCCACTTTTCTATTCAACTGAGAATACCAAAGAATTTCCGTGCATTTTCCCAGAGAGTTCTTGAACACAAGAAGAACAGAAACTTTCCAGTTAAGGTACCACATTGACTCAAGAGATGGTACTTCAGTTCTTGTCTTTGTCACACCTGTGACACACCTGTGACACCTGCTCTGCAAAGCACCAAATGGCTGACCCAGAAGACCACAGCTCACATTTAAGTTGATCTTGCCATCTAGAGGCATTAGTTGTGTGTCCACAAATCTATTTCTCTGCTTTGATTGCAGGAAAGGGACACAGAGATAGGCTGGTACTGTCTCTGCTAAACAAAATGCAATTTTTTTCTGCCAGGTGTTAGTGCTGCTAGGCAAACAAACTGTTAAGGAAACTACTTTGTTAAAATGAAAATGAATATAAAATAAAACATGAAAAAATTGAGTTTTTAAAATTTGAGCCATTTCTCCTCTCTGAAATCAGCTCCCTTTGCCTGACTGCACATCACATCCCAACCTGGATGCTGAGTTTAGCTTTTGTGTACTGTAAAGCTGATGGCAGCCGAGGCATCAGCCAGAGACTCACTCTGCTAACTCCAGAAATTTCCTTTTCTCCTTCCTATGATTTCTTCCTCAGAAGAAAAACCTGCCTTCACAAAGCCCTTCCTACTTTCAAGGCTGAACATTAATGATGACCTCCTCTCTGATACTGGTTCTTCATCCTGTCTTCACTTCATCCCCACATTTTAACAAACCAATGCAGGCCAAGGACAGCGTAACCAGGGGATGCCATGGCTACTTCCAATCTGTATCTGTCATATTAAAATAATCTGTTGTATACTAAGGGGTAGATTTGATTTCTTTTCCAATGTGTTATTTACAATCTGGCAGAGTTCAGTACAAATGTGGGAACTGATCCTGCAATTTGATCAGCCCCGGCAGACCCAATGAAGTCAATGGAGTCTGCATGGATGGATCAGATTCCAAGAATATTCTTATAAACTGTTTCACAAGCAAACCTCACAAAATCTGTAGTCACAGAACAACTAAATAAACAAGGCAAGTGACATCTGTAGTTGGCATTTTTACTTCATATGAGTGTCACAGCATTGGCTGAATTGATCAATTTTTAAGTGACAGAGAAAAGACCCTAGAGGGAATAAAATAGAAGAAGTGAAACTAGTAACAGAGAGAAACTTTTAAAAGATAAAATATAAGCTTGGGAAGACACACCTTTTGCTTTGGAGTGAAAAGAACTAGGTCCTAAAAGACAGAATTCTTTTTCTATCACTTTCAAGTGAGAGCCATGATCCTGCAGGGAGCTCTGGGCAGGAAGATCCAAGAATCAATGCAGTGTCCTTCAGAGTCTCAAGTTTTTATTTCAGGTCAGAAATTCCAAGTAAAATGAACGAAAGTATTTTCCCTTTTTTTTTTTTTAATCAGAGTTATGAAGCTTCATAATTCCTAGACGAAACTCATGAAGTAGAAGCCCTTTGGCTTTTGATAAAGATGTGACTGCTGAATTTAGCCCAGAGTAAGTTCTCCTATTATTAAGAATTATAATTCAGTAGGAGAAAGAAGGAGTTTGATTAGAACTCCCTGCCCTCTGATTGTTCAGATATCAGCCTTATTGACATTGTCACCCTCCTGTTTTTCCTATGCTATCTGCTAACCAGCAAAGCTGGAGGGGTCAAAGTGCAAGCCAGCCAAAAAACCCAGGACAGAATAAAAAATGGTATTTTTAGTCTTTTGTCTTAAAGGCCTTGAGAAACAAGTGAGATTTTTTTGCCATCTCCTCCTTAAGGTAATTTTCAGAGGTAAATTCTACAGACATTTGAGCAGGAACTGAATACTAATTCCTAGAAAACTGCTCCCCATGTGTTTTTTGGGGAGGAGTTTCTCAACCCAGCAATGCCTGGATTCTGCAGCGTGTTGCAGAGAGGAGGAAGATACCAATTAGAGTAATGGAGAGAGCAAGGCTTGGAGCACAGAGATAAACATCTGGAGAGCTCCTTCAGGCAATTGCATTTGAAGACTTGAAAATAGGAGGGATTAATTTAACTGGGATTCTGAAATGGAACTGAAACTGGAGTTGTTTGCTAGTGAGTAGTTGTACTTCTTCCTATTGTCAGTGGCAGTTTACATTCAGAGGAGTTTGGGAAGCTGGACTTTCAAGAACAAAGAAGAACAACTGACAATAGTGTGGGAATCAAGAATTAAGCATGAATTAACATTTCCGTGGTGGTGAAGTCAAAGCAAAGTGTGGCCGTCTGACTACCTTTATTTGTGCTCAATATTTAGCCATGAATCTGAATGGTATTTAATCAAGCTGGTTTGTTATCTGTCTAGGAGACTTCAGCTGGTGCTTACAGCAGACTGCACTGTTTCAGCACACCCTGCTTTCTGGGCAGCCCCTCCTATGGCCACTGGAGTGGGAGTGCAGTGGCCTTTCACTCAGGCTACGTTTTGGTTGATCTTGGGTTTTAACAACAAAAAAACGTTTGATTCTATTGAGAAAGCTTGTGAGGAGGGTCAGAGGAAGATATTTGGAGCAGTTTTAGATATATCATATTTGAAACACTTCTGATGCATGGTGTGGTCAGTAGTAGAAGGGCATGGGAAGGAAAGAGAATTTTCACTTTTATTTTTCAGATTTGCTATGCACAGAAAATGAATTGATATTTTTTCAGTATAAAGTCACTTCTTATTCTGGGAACTTTAGGACAAGATACTTTTCAATAACTTTTGGCTTGATCCTGCAGTTGCTGTATTAAACAAAAAGCAGTATTCCTATGATTCCTATATTCTTTCCAGCAAGCATATGTACATGGTATATGAAAATTTCATGTCCCTCATAATTTCTTCCTGACTGTGCCTGTCAAGGAAGTGCTCACCAAATCACCACAGCTTTGCCAGTGGTGAATGCTGTTGCTGGAGTGTTATGATGCATGCAGGAACCTGCCTGGAACTTCATTTCCCTGGCTGCTCTGGAGGCTATTCCAGTGTTTTGGCAGACTGGTGGTGCTCATTATACTTCTTGCCTCAATGCTCAGCGTGCATTGATACTTCAAAAAGCTTTTCTTTACTATCTTAACAGTCAGAATCTTCTACAAAAGCCTTAATTTGGTGCATCTAAAGGCTCAGTAGCACAGCTTTTTCATATTTTGGTCCATAGGTCAAATAAGCTCTCACCATCAAATTGAATGTTTCTGCCAAGGGTTTACTCACAGTCATCTGAATGATCAGGGACAGGGGCTCTTATTTATTAAGAGGATTTTATGCTTCTGAGTAGCTTCAAGGAAATCAGTCTCAGGGATCCTCCACAGCAGAAGCTGAAGGAGCAAACACCATCTTTCAGCATAGCCCAAGGCCCAGGAGGCTGGAATATTTAAAGTTCTTGTCAGCAGCTTTATATCAAAGACAAATGTCTTGCTTCTGCCCTTTGATGAGAACAAGGAGAAGATTTTTGAGTGGTGATCAGCTGGGTTTCAGACTTGGAAAGACTACATCTGTAAAAGAAGAGCTGGTGCTTTCATTAGATGATTCCTAGATGATTTAGCCCATCATAGCACAAAGTTAAGGCACTGACCTTCCCCAATGCATGTGGGAAGCAGTGCGTCCAGGCAGTCTGGCTCCTTGATGTGAAAATGCCAGCTTTCACCTGACCTGCATTACTCCAAGGTAGATCCTTAAGACTTTGTTGTGAGTTCATATGGCAATGGGTATTTTTAAAACCTGCTACAAAAAGCTCTGTTCTAGGGTCTTTATGAGGGTCTGCTATTGCTGACTTCCTTGGATCCAATCATTGTCTGGTTTCTCAAAGAGTTTTTTGCTGACAGCATGTGAGTTTCATGCATCAGGCACTTCTTTATCATCTTTTAGATTTTAAATGCTAGAGTGCTGCATAGAACTCATCTGAAAGTCCCTGCAAAGAGGAGACTTGAGGCACTTTGCTATTTTTACTATTTTTACCCTGAATCTTATAGTGAAGCCCTCTTCTAAATTTTTGTTAATAACCAGAAGTAAAGTTGTAAAGGCCACTGAAGGTGAGCTATGTGGATTTTCTCCATGCCTCTACAAAACCATTATGCTTTTTATTTGGTCTACAGCAAGAATTGCTATTTTAGTAATCCAGTGCTATGGAAATTGTTTCTGGTATTATAGAAATCAAGCTTTTCAAGACAGTAGAAACTGTCTGTTTCAGGATAACATTCCTTAGCTCTGAGTTGCTTTTGCTCTAACTTTGCATACATCTTTCAGAGAATGCAATGCTGTGATGGAAATCTCTCTGTGCTTTTGTTTCAAATATGACTTGGCATCTGTATTCATCCCTTTCTCCCAATAATTCCATCCTGACATGGTTTTTCTCATAGTTGTAACTTCTTTTTTCTCACCTCCTGATTCTCCAGGGGTAAGAGATCAGAGAGCCCTCTGGAAAGGGCAGCCACTCACCAGAGCTGAGTTCCCTGAAGAGACTCTTCAATCCCGTCCTTTAACAACAGTAGACTCCGATAAGATACTGATTTTGTAACTTCTGTATTGTTCTGTCAGGCTTCCTTCCCACTCTCATCCTCTTTTATTTTTTGCCCTGTGATTTATTTCTCTGGTAAAACATTGACTCCTGCTCAAACTGGGAGCTGCATGGAGCAGCTGATCCAAGTTGTGGAGACCACCAGTTTGTACTTGGCACTTGTACCCAGCCACCACCTCTCTGGGTTGTAAAGGCTTGTGTTTATCTCATTCTGAGAAGTCAAGATATAGAACTGAGAATCTTCACTGAAATGAGGATCTGAATGTTCTCCTCCAACAGTAACTGTTTTTTTCAGGATCTGATATTCCACAGTCAATACTGTTTGGGTGTTTCTAATGCACTATAAGATCTCACTAGGCATTCACAGCACTAATGCTTAACCAGAATTAAAGAACAAACCAACAATTAGGAAAAACCATTCATACATTAATTCAAAAATGGGTTATAGTTATTATTTGTTCTGGGGATTTGAGTAAATGTAAGAGAGGAGGAAGAATATTTTCAAAAACTTTAGACTGAGTATATGAAAAATGCCTTATTACTGCTAGGTATTAAATCATGGACATACCTTTCCAGGACATACCTTTCCATGGGTGGAAGCCCATGCCTAAAGGGGTTTAAAACAGCAGGAAGCAGTCCTGTACAGGTTAGACAGACACTGAAGACCTGAGGAAGGCAGACAATGCCTCAGCCAGCACAGGTACAGATGGAAGAGGATGAGCCCTGATGCCCTCAGGCTCACACAGCTTTCCAAAGGGGATAGTCCTGTACATAACTACACACATGGCCATTTGCAGACCTGCAAATCTACTGCAATTGATTTCTTCCTCTCTATAGCCCATCATTTGAGAGCTGAAAATTACTTATAATAGAGGGAGTGCTGTCTAAATGTGAGAGCAACTTGATGTTTAAAAAGGTTGTTTTTCAAAGATTCTTCCAACTTGCTGCTGATCATCTCTCAGTCCAATAGCTCAGCACTGGTTTCAAGGGAGTAGGACACTTTTTCCAGACCAATGTCCTCATTTCCTGTGTGTCTGAATAATAATTTATAGCAGTTTCACACAATCCCAGAAATATTATGTTGCCAAGGTTTAAAGATGTCACCATTGTGCTCACCTTTCCCATCCTCTTGCCAGGTGTCACTGCCCTCAAAACAAGGACAGCCTTTTGTGAGTCAGCACTGGGGCTGCTGCAATTCCGTATTAAGGCCAGTCCAGGCTGGAGTTATTTTCCTTCAGTGTATTGAGCTGACAGTGGCAATCTAGGACCTGGTTCCCCAGAGGATCAGATATCTCTGCTTTGGAGAGGAGCAAGACTGAGGGTGGTGCAACCTCAGACTGCTGATTTAATCTGCTGGCCCAAGCATGCTGGAGTCTGGTTCAGCATCAGATAGTGGCAGTGATGGAGAGGTTCTAGGCAGGGACTAGAGGCCAGGTAGATTGTTGGTCT